TGGGATTTAGGGTTTAGGGAAACAATTCTGCGGGTTAAGCTTTGATTGATAGAGTGATAATACCCCCCCCAAAAAAATAAAATGGTTTAGGGTTTAGGGCTTTCTGTTGGGTTTAGGGTTTAGGGTTTAGGGTATAGGGTTTAGGGTGTAGGGTTTAGGGTTTTAGGGTTTAGCAAGACTGCTCTACTACTGAGATAATTGTAAATCGGAGCGAAGAACCAACCTTTGCTGTCGACAGCTTCTGTGCGGCTAGGAGCGACACCTCCAACCAGCAAGAAGGACTTGACCGTGCTAATGTAGGGGCCTTAATAATTAGAATAGGGTTTAGGGTTTAGGGTTTAGGGTTTAGGGGCTTTAATCATTAGAATAGGGTTTTAGGCTCTTTTATCGCATATTTACAACAGTGAACCCTAACAATAATATTGGTAAGTATTTATTTAGGCCCCTATATTATCTGGCAAGCGCAAGACTTTCGGACACGACATGTCGTCATGCAAGACTTTCTTCCCAGCTGTGCTCGCCACGTGATGCTCGAACTCGGCGTTGGCAGTCTTCTTAACTGGCGGTCTTTCTTGGCCCGAATAGAAAGGCCTTTGGCTTCATCATGTCTTCAACCCGCCTTGGACACATATTGGGCATTTATCTCTTGAAATATATGCTGAAACATGTCGCGAGTTTTCCGGGAAGCTGTCGGCTGTACTTTAGCAGAAAACCCTAAGGAATAATGTTGATTGGTAACCCTAAACCCCAAACCCAAAACACTAAACCTGCGCCTTACTACTTGCTTAGGGAAGCCTGCGCAAAAGCTGTTCTGATTCCCTCAAAAACGTCCGAGAAATCTAAATTCCACCGGCTGAACGTTCTGCCCCTTAAACAGGCTCCTAGGGTTTCGGGTTTAGGGTTTAGGAGCTTTGGCCTGCACTGAACCCTCCCAAGCCCAAAATCCTAACACCCCAAAACCCCCAATTCCGAAAACCGAAACCCCTTAACTCTACACCCTGCAACATCCCCAAACAAGACTTCCAAGACCCCTCCACGCCCGCCCTCCCCGCCAAACCCGAAATCCTAAGCCGCAAACCCAATATAGAGGCCTTAATAATTAG